AAATTTTAAGGTTCTCTTACTAAACGCATAACAGTAATTTTGAGGTGAGAGTTGCACTAATAAAAAAAAAACATGATTTACATTGAACTGCTGCGTGATCTGTGCAAATTTTTGCAGTTTTTCAAAAATTTTCAGAGAATTTTAGATTTAAGACATTTATCCTTAATTAGATTGTAATTAATTTTTCACATAAACTTCCAGTAATCTTTATAACAATTTTTGTTATTTTCCTTAGTAGTTATACATTCCATATTTTAGGATTCCAATCATATTAGAACCTTACCAACTCCAAAGAATCGACAATATTTCTGAGTACTTCCCTAACATTGGAAGTCGTTTTCAAAGAAAGGTTAGTCAATTTTCAAATTATTTGTCTATATTTCCGCCATAATAAACCATGCCTTTGAAGGAAATCTGTCAAAGCCACGTGTACATCTCTACACCATTGGAGTTTTGTTGTAGACATGACATTAGGATTGTGAAACGACTGGAAGAGAAAACCTTTATACATTCTGTGGCGATCCAGTTGCGTTATTTGCAGGTATAATTTTGCTGGAAAGTATTTCCATACGAAATTGGTGAAATTGTATTTTTTGGAAATATTTCTTTAAAGTATCGTAAACCCAGATTATGTAAACAAGCGGTAAGATTGCAGCAAGCCTTTTGTAAATCAATTAACGCTATGATATCAATGTTTAATTGCGAGCTTCATGCTTATTTGGAAATTTTGTAGCACAATTGAATATCCAGTGTACATCAAACGAATCGACTGTGTGTCGTCAGCTCACAGCTTAGATCGCAAACCTCATGCTATCAACTGAATTGTGAAAGCCACTTAGTTCAAGATTTCAGTCTTACAAATATTTCTGGAATCTTCGTCGAGAAGCTATACTTCATATTATTGGCGGTAGTAATCAAACCATTTTCATGGCTGATACACAACTTTTTCCAAAAAATCGCTTACGTCGACGGCAATCAAAGTAGGTCTACTACACTAATATTTCGAGAAATATATTGATTTACTTGGACAATCGATAAGCGTGATTTAGAATTTAGATCATTATTCTAGCATATGCGTGCACATACGACGAGGTGATTTCACGGGATCGAAAATGCATCGCGCGTCCGATGCTGAGTTTAGCCTAGCTGCCATGCGTTTTGTTGTTGAGAAGAGTAAGTTATCGAGCTGAATTACCGTACCCCGGCAAAAGTTCCTTTGCCATTTATTTTTAACTTTGTTTCATACAAACAGATGCAAAGGTAT